ATAACGCCCCTTGCGAGTTCAGAAGTCATCGAGACTCTCACCAGAGTGGATGTACAGCGCAACTGGCGCTGCTACTGAGAGAAGCACAATTCCCGCGCTTCTGTTGAGAAATATTTACTTTACATTCTTTCATCCCCGAGAGAAATAATATTTAGCATAATCCTATGTATTTATTGGCCTACAGACTCCCATCCAGAGAGGAAGTATATTTTGCTACCAACATATACTTGAGTAACTTTATTTTCGACCTAGAAGTGGACTCCTTCCACGAATCTTTAATTGTATATTTTTAAATGTGTTAAATGTCACCTGTAGTTAATTATTGTATTATGTCGTGTTTACGTGCCTGTAAATTAAACTGTATGTTTTGAAACCTGTCTCAACCCGACCACCCCCAGATCCAGCTGCATGATGCACACTGCAATGAATAATTAGTAGCTAATATGTTTTAAACTTAAAAATACTACCTAACTGCTAGTATCTTGAGAAAACACTATTCACTGGCACCAAAACTATTAAAATCTACTTGATATTTCTCATAATCTATTTCTTAATAAATCAAAATCGCAATAACTATACACTAAAATAAACATTACCACAAATAAACTTGATAGGTTCGAAAAGCCTTCAGCGACTTATATTTGTTTACTTATGTATGTTCTCCATTAGAAGGAAAACGCACACCTGAAATAAAACAAAAAGATTGATTTAAATAAGAAATGTATTTTAATTATATAATTTAGACCAATAAACTCATCATACGGATCATAACTATTCGAATCAAAGTGAATATTATCATAAAATTTATCATCTCCATACAATCAAAATTCGAAAATACTGTAGTTATGCTAATACTATAGTTAAACAAACAAATTCAATAAAAAACACATTGATACGCTACCATGGGACTATAATTAAAGATGAGATTTCCACTTCAACATTTAAGTAAGATTAACATAAGCAAAGAACAGATTTGAAACATGCAAACAAAAAATATCTCTTAAAAAACTTATTATAAACAAATGCTAACATTACCAAAGACCTACATGAAGACCCGCCGAAATGGGATAACTCAACTACACTCATGTCCATAAATTAAGGATAATTCAGAATCACACAGAAATTGAACTCTAAAATTAAAATTTCACCTGTAGAATTATCACACACATCTTGAAGAAGAATATGCAAATTACAGGAAACCACAAGATGGCGCGGATAGTACGTCACAATGACGGCAGTGTAAGAGAGGGGTATATAAGGAATGGTGGCAAAGAAGTAAAATTGTTCATAAGCGCTTTAAAAGCCTTTCAGTGTAATAACCGCATAGTTATGGCACAAAGGAAGCATTTGGATGATTTTTTACGTGGTAGAATTATCGGACGACTGGAATGTGGACGTACCCAGCTGGAAGTATCCGAGGAACTTGGAATCGCCCAGTCATCTCCAGGCTTTGGCAACGATTCCAAGATGATGGTAATGTGAGTAGATGTTACAGCACAGGTCGCCCCCAAGTTACAACGCCGAATGAGGACCGGTATTTAAGCAGTTACTGCCAAAAGAAACAGACGGAGCACAGCATCAGACCTGTCTCGTCAGCTACCGGTACGACAGTTTCAAGGCAGACCGTGTACAGACGCTTAGGGCACATTGGTCTATATGCTCGTAGGCCTGTCAGATGTGTTCCACTTACCGCAACTCACTGTCGCCTGCGATTAACCTGGAGTAGAGAGCATGCATTGTGGACACCGCAACAGTGGTCTTGTGTGATGTTTTCGACGAGTCCAGGTTTAATTTGCAGTCTGATTTTCGCCGGACTTTCATATGGAGAGCGCCAGGTACCCGTTACCACCAAGAGAACACCATTGAACGACACCGTTACGGTGGTGCAGAATGGCTCGTTTGGGGAGGAATTATTCTTGGTTCCAGAACTGACCTGCATGTTCAGAGTGTAACGATGACAGGCCAGATCTATCGGGATGTCATTCTGGAACAACATGTACGTTTGTTTCGGGGCACCATGGGTGCTGAATTTCTGTTTATGGATGACTACGCCCGTCCTCACCGTGCAAATATTGTAGACGAATGCCTTCAATTGGAGGATATCACCCGTATGGATTGGCCAGCATACTCACCGGACTTGAATTCAATAGAACATGTGTGGGATATGCTTGGCCGACGAATTGCAGCCCGTCAACCTCCTCCCACCTGTCAACCGGAACTTCGGAGGCCATTGCTTGATGAATGGTGTAATATTTCCCAAGATCAGATTGATAATTTGATACTCAGCATGCCTAGGCGTTGTAAGGCCGGTATTGCATCGTCCGGGAGACATACTCCATATTAACCATCATACTAACCATGTTATACTGTTTTTTGTAAATAGGTTCTTTTTTGAAATTTGCTCCAGGGAGTAAAAATCGCAACTTTTATTAATTATGTGAAACATATAGCATCTTTTTTGCTCTTTACTTTTTGTTTAATAAATAGACTTTACAAATAAGTCAAATTTGTTTTGCTTCTGTCTCTTTCTTTGCCTGAACTTCATTATCCTTAATTTATGGACATGAGTGTAATTCATAATATCCTTTTTATTTCCAATGGCAAGTTTACATGACAACATATATCGTAAAAATATACATGCAAAGAACAAGATAAAAACATATGACATCAGTTATCAGAATCCATCCACTTGAGTCTGACAATCCAATAACGCTTCCGTAAAGAAACAGGAGGCAGTGCAGAACAGGAAGCAAGGTGAGACACATCTATCTCTTCCTGGTCATCATTACTACTACACCAGGGATGGGCAAACTTTTTCGGTGGCGGGCTAAAAATCGAAAAAAAAAAACGTTTGACGGGCCAAGATAAATGTTTCGAAAATTTTAAAAACAATATACAAGTATTACAATTTAAATATGTTAATGAAATTACGATTTCATTTTTAAAAGTTCCTTATAGTGAGATTCGAAGTGAGATGTACTGATTCTAAGGAACGAGGCTAAATGCTCAACTCTCAGTCTCCTTCTGAAATAATTCTTTCTAAGGTTCATAGTTGAAAACACATATATAAGATGAAGCAAACAAAACCCTGATTTTCTGAGCGTGAGATGTTAAATTTGGGAAACTTACTTTCGATATTGATTTGTAAAACTCTAACATGTTGGCGCCAATCTACAGCTATAACTAACAAAGAACTTCCGTTTTTAACACTTTACCGATTGAATGCTATCTGTGCTTGCTATTTCCGTCGATTTATGTTTTGTAGAACAAAAATAGAGAAGATCATCGGTCCTTTGAAAAAAAATAATATTTCATCGAAGTAGAAAAGGAGATGGATGTATAATATATAAATATATATTTCTTTTAATTTGTCTCGGACCGACAAATAAAAATTCTATCCGCGGGCCGGGTAGGACCTTCCAGGGCCGGAGTTTGACCATCCCTGTACTACACTGACACCACACTGATTGGACTCTGTGACTCTCTACGGTCATATGAGACAAGGACATACCCGCTTAAAATGCATTAAAAACGAAGTCATCTCCTGTCTCAAAATCTGCCAGTAAGCAGACGGCCTTGGTCCATCATAGGGCTGTTGCGTCAATGATGATGATGTTGATGAGTATTTAAAAGGGAAAAGTGTTTTTATTAAAAAATGCAGCATAAAATCTTCAGAAGTTCTAAATAAAATATTACAATGAATTAAATTCATCAAAGTTCTAATGTATATTACTGTTTTACAAAATTTAAAAATTGTTTAAAAGCCATTAAAAAATTATTTGTTTAACTATGAGTTAACAACAAATCCCTCCTAATTTTTGTATGATTCTCTCATTATTAAATTAAATGGATGTCATTCAAACTCGTTCATTCCCACTAAAATGGATGTCATTGACTCCAATTCAAATTAATGAATACATTTCGATAAAGTTTTAAAATGAATTGTTTTGTTTTCGAAAGCTGTTAGCTTTGAAAAAGATAACGAGCTTTCTTATTTAGTTCCTATTCATCATTATCATCATCCATTGCGCAACAGCCCCATGGTGGGCCAAGGCCATCTCCTGTCTAGTATCTGCCTCTTGGCAGATTTTGAGACACGAAATGTTTTCTTGTTACGTGGTAGGGTTGTCAACCCTACGCCAATGCTCTACAGTTATATTAGACTATAAAACACCACATCACTGTACCTAGAGCTGAGTTGCCCCTACACAGTTTGGGAATGATGTGGGGGAGAAGAAGTCTGACTGGGCTCTGTGACGCTCTACGGTCCTATTAGACAGGACCTATGGCTTAAAGTGGATTCCGAACCACTATAAACATCCATGGCACCTAACGCTAGAGCTCTAGTCACTAGGCCTTGGTTGTAGTTAGTTTAAAATAAATTTTGGTTCTTTCTCTCCCTTTTTCTTTAAAGGTTTTGGACTTTTGAATGCGCTGACAAGCAATTGTGGGAAATGAGACACATGGCAGTATCAGAATATATTCCAAAATCATGTCGTTGCTAATCATATTTTGGGTGGCGGTCCCATAAATTTTCAGAGTGTGGAAAATTACACCGATTTATTCGGAGTGCGTAAAAAATATACAGAAAATCATAAATCCGCGTTTTTCGCAGAAGTAAAGAAATAAAATTGATGGTTTCATATTCAATATAAAGAAAAAGGGTTTTAAGAATATCTATATACAGGATGCAATGGATGTTTGTAGTGGTTCGGAATCCATTTTAAGCCGTAGGTCCTTGTCTATGACCGTAGAGGGTCACTAAGCCCAGTCAGACTTTTTCCCACCCACATCATTCCGAAACTCTAAAGGGGCAACTCAGTTCTAGGCACACTGATGTGGTGTGTTGTAGTAGTAGTCATATTAGACCGGGATCTAGAGCTTAAAGGGGATTCCGAACCATTAAAAACATACATGCCATCACCAGGGACTCGAACCTGAAACCTGTGGCACCGAGCGCCAGTCACCTGGCCATCAGGCCCCACATTTTTTGAATGGCAACGTCACGCAGTGTTCCCAGGTGGTCACACTCCCAAGTACTGACCGCGCCCGATGATGCTGATCAAACGAGAACCGGTATAATCAGCATGGTATGGCCGTTGGCAATTGCTGTTCATCTAATTAAAATAACATTTGTCATTCTATGAAAAAAATGTTATTATGATTTAAATCTGATATTCACCACACAGAGCGCCTTAGTAATTTCAATTGTTTTAAGTGGATATCGCTTTCAAGAAAAATAAATAGTTTTTGAAAAAGGTAAAACAATTTTGATGTAAAGAAAGAAATTAATGCATGCCTGGATTAAAACCTGAAAGTTGTGGCACAGAGCGCCAGAATGCTAGTCATTCGGCCACCAGGCCCCAATAATAAATTTCACATTTGGAAAATGCGTTAACGATTTTTTTTTGTTTTTTTATTATTATTATATGTGATTTCAGTGATGCTAATTTAGCAAAATTCATTTACTGCACTAACCCTGCCAGCAATATGCGGATTTTATCATATTTAATTTATTTGCCTTTGCCGAAACATCGGCTAAAAATCCCACATCTTATCAACCTATCGTTGTTCTCTAGTTGCTCAATATTCATTCCTTGGTGAAAGAAGTTCTTTTATGTGTGGCGAAAGGAATCTTTCAACTATTTTGCAAAAGGGATTTCTCGTTCTGCAAAAGGGATTTTGTGCATCAAAGCTGTGCCTGGTGACAAATTGGATGAACCACTTAAAAACTGGATAATAACTATGCATAAACATTACAAAAATGGCACAAGGAATGTAACATAAAAACATTTATGACTTTTTTTTAAAAAAAATCTTGAAAATGGTGCTCATTTCTTGAGACCCTCGCATGAAGAGAAAGCATATGAAAGAGTTGCTGAAATAAAAATAAAAAACTAAATTCAAGCACCCATTCTTGAAGTAATCACGCCTCCCACTCACAAAAGCGGGAAAAAAGCTCCCGCAATAAAGATGACTTCACACTCTCGGTTTCAGTTCGCCAACAGGCGCGCTTTTTGGAAGGATGCCAAGCTTCGAAATTCAAGGCCATTTTAACCACACACACAGCCTGAAACACTTTGTTTCTTTTGTATTTCATTTAGTTTTTTTTAATTTTTTCAGCTGCCGTGTGTGATTTAATATCCCGGTATTGAAACTTGTAAAAGAGAATTGAGAACTTCCACCCTCACACGTCTGGGCTGAAAGGATTTTCTGAGAATGCTACGCTTGAGCGAATTTCATGAGAGGCGATCCTTATATATGTTTTTTTAAAGTTATATTTCTAATATTGGCTGTCAGACGTATTAGAGAACATAGATTCAACTATAGCATACATAGATTCACTCAATTCTAATTGTAGTAAATTTGATTATTTTATCATAGAGACTCACAGGATATATGAAAAAAAGAAACAAAAAACCCTTCAAAATTATCTAGCACAGGCAGGGCCGGATTTAGATGGAAAGAGACCCTAGGCTATTCCACTTATGAGGCCCTTTCACCTCCCATTTTTAAGTTTGTAAATTACACGACAGATAATAAAATACATCATTACTGTGATATACATCAATATGTTAAATGAAACATGTTGTGATTGGCACTAATAAAAAGAAAAAAATTCGAGAACACTTATTTGAACATTTATTCTCAGCACTCTATATAGTACTTGTAACAATAACTCATCAAACATAACACGCAACATTTGCAAAGAAACAAAATTTAAACAATAAAAATCTTTGTCCACGAAAATAAAATATGTAATAAAAATTATCCTATTTTCTATCAAATTAAATTGAATATATTCAATACATTGAAGATTGAAGCAAATCCAATTCAGATAAATTTATTTCATAATTTCTCCTTATTTTTGATTCAGTGGTTTAGTGTTTACTGTTTTTAGAATAGTGTTTCTAATTTTCTAACAATTTTTCTAACAATTCTAATTTTTCTAACAATTTCCTCTTGACCCTCTTGATCTTGAGGCCCTAGGCTGAAACCTAGTTACCTTTAGGAAAATCAGGCCCTGTTTATAATATGGCCGTCGGGCGTATTAGAGAGCAAATATTCATATGCACTAAATACTAATTATATTAAATTTGATTATTTTAACATAAAGACACACAGGAAATATGAAAAAAAGAAGGAAAAAAACCCTTCAAAATTATCTAGCACGGGTTTGGTCAACCCAAACGATCTTGCGGGCCACTTTGGAAATGCATCCTAACTCCGCTGGCCGCATATAAAATTATATATTCCCCTATTAGATTTAGACTCACTATAGACATTTTTTGGGAGTGAAAAATTCAAACAGGATGACCTATTATTTTTTTGTACAGGGGAACATAGGTAATATATTAATAATGATGCTAAATGCACATTGCAAAGAAACATATAAGTCTAAAAATGAAATATAAAAAACATGTAAATATAAACGAAATAAAAAAATATTAAATCGTTTAAAAATATTTATTTTACTAGGGCGATATTTGTTTCCCCACTTTTTCACTTAGCTTTCACAAATCGATCTCAATTTGGGTATTTGCACATCGTAATGGATGTTTCAGATTAGAGTCCGCTATGTTTGAGCGTGTTGGGTCAATTTCATTTTCCGAAAAAGAAAAAAAAAACGATTCGCAGGTGTAAGTTGAACCAAAAGCGCTAACCACTTCAACTAAGAGTCTGGTTTGCTTTGCTGCCAACAGTCAACTGTGCGTATCTATGGAGGATCGCTGAGGTCACTTAAAGTGAAACATAGAACCTGCTGTATTAGATGTTCCAAGATGCGCGCGCATCATGAGTTCGCAGAATATAATTTAATTATTCTGCGAATTCATAACTATAAACTCATCCTTAAAACAGGCACTATCTGTCCTATATTCCCAAGAATATTATTTTAAAATCAAAAGTTCATTTCTTCTCATAATTTCGAGATTTAATTTTTGAATAGATGGATGCACAAATAATGTATTTTTTTTTAATGCATTCGTTTTAACTACTTTGGCCACTATGAAATAAATATTTTGTAAATGTATGATAAACCTCACGAGCCACAAATAATATTCAAGGCGGGCCGCGGGTTGGCCACACCGGATCTATCCTATATATGTAATTAATTTCTTTATTTATAATAACAAATAAATAATGCAATATGATATTTTTATGAGGCCTGATGGCCGAGTGACTGGAGCACGGTGCCACAGGTTTCGGGTTCGAAACCCTACAGTTCCGTGGATGTTTGCAGTGGTTCGAAATCCGCATTAAGCCGTAGGTCCTAGTCTCAAATGATAGTAGAGCGTCACAGAGCCATATCAGACTTCTCACCCACATGATTCCCGAACTGTAAAGGGGCAACTCAGCTCTAGACACAGTGATGTGGTGTGGTGTAGTAGTGGTTTGGAATAGACGTTAAACTGTAGGTCCCAGTCCAATTAACCTAAAGTGTGCACAAAATGACCGTAGAGCGACAAAACAAACCAATCTTTATTGTATTGGCGACTTTATTTTAAAAAAAATTGCTTAAAATAACCACTTATTCATTCATATTCATTCAATAAAATATTCATGCTTTGCTTACTTTGTACTAAATGGCATAACACTTTTTGTAAAACAAATGAAGGAAACCTGCAGTTTATTATTGTAAAACTATTTCTTATTTGTTTTGCATTTGCTTTAATTATAAACAAATTATTAAAGAAAATAATATATTATATTATAATTATAATTATAATTATTAAGATTACTTAAACGTAGTAAAAAAAAAATTTTTTTTTTGTTTTAAATTGCATTTGAACAAAGATTAAAAAAGTTAACTTGATTGTGTTTTGGATAGTCTGATAATACGAAACTATAAAATCCCTTCCTTTTTCCCTACAGACGGAAATGAATCCCTGTTTATCCCTGCAACTTCTCGGAATCAACTTTGTGACATCAATAACGATAACAAGGGATGAAAATCAGGCTAATCGTTGATGCAAGACGCTATTGATTGGTATTTCTTAAAGACAGCGGTTTTAATCTTCTACGTTCCCGCCAGCTATAAAGAGATAAATACCACAACATTTTCTTTTTTTTCTTTTTTTTTTCTTTGCTTTCGAGTTCTACGACGAGGTTTTAATTATAAAAAAAAAAATATATTATTTTTGATGGGAAAAAATTAAATTTTCTTTATTATTATTATTGTTATATTGCTTTTATTTTTAACAAAAAATATTATTTATTATTTTAATTTAAGAAAAGTCCAATTAATTTCTATTATTTAAAATCTTGCTGTAGAATATGTTTTAATACCAAATTTAAATTCATATTATAAGTTTTGATAAATAATGAATCCATATACCTCTTTAAATATTATTATAATCCTACTTTTGTTATTCCAATATTTAGCCTATCTCATGGATAAAGGGTGTTGTTATGGTTACTAATCCCCCTGGTGCAGAAAAGCCTACACCAGATCCAAGAGACCCCATCGCAGGTGACTGGTTCATGGTTAAGTGTAATAATATGCAGCTTCACTTTAGCGAGGAACCACGAGGGCTGAAGACTGACTAAAAGTCAAAACAATGCTATACGATCCTATTAGACCAGGACCGGTGATACGAGACCGGGAGCTACGGTTTAGAATGGATTCCAAACCACTACAAACATCCATGGCAACGACGCGACTTGAACCCGAAAGCTGTGGCACCGAGCGCCGGAGCGCTAATCACTCGGCCATCAGGCCCCATTTAAGGTTGAAATGACTGTTGTTGTTCTAATGCTGTTGGCAATACTCAAACAGTTAATTTTTAAGCCATATGCAAGGGCTGCACCGCTGTTACTCATTTAGCACTACCCAGGGAGCACGTGTAGCTTGAGGATAGGCTACAGATGCAAGTAGCACTACCACAACACTCTACGATTGTATTAAACCGGGACCTATGGTTTCAAGTGGATTCCGAACCACAATAAACATCCATGGCATCGCCGGTATTCGAACCCGAAACCTGGGGTATCGAGCGCCAGAGCGCTAGCTACTCGGCCACCAGGCCCCATTTAAGGATAAAAGGTAAAGTCGGTGATCAACTCTCAAGCTCAACTCGCTCTTAAAGCTCTCTTGGGAAT